CTTCCCCACTGTCAACACAGCGGTCTCTCGCACCCCACTGAACAAACACCAGCCGGTCTCTCCATCCCCATGACTACATCCGCTGTCTCTCCCTCCCCACTGACAACACCAGCGGTCTCTCGCACCCCACTGACAAAACCAGCGTCTCTCACCCCACTTGACAAACACCCAGCTGTTACTCTCCCTCCCAACTGACCAAACACCGCGGTCTCTCCCACCTTCAATGACACACCACCAGCGGTTTCTCCCACCTCCAATGGACACCACCTATTCCAATATTGGAGATGTCCCAGTATCTCTTTTGCCGTTCCTGAGAGCAGGAGAACAGCTTGTCGTTGCTGATAGCCATGCAGTTGATGACTTGGGTCGAGTCCTTGGTAGTGAGAGTCTTCACCAGAGCGCTGGTCTTTAGGCCTCGAAGCTCGTACATCACCGTACCCCACAGCTGTGTTCCACTGTAACACGACACGCAGCGGAGGTTGTTTATAACACTTTTCTTAGTACTTTAAACATGAAACAGCCTGATCGGTTTTTCTTTATTAGGCTATTAGAAGGAATTACAGTTATAGTGTAGTGGAAAATGGTGTGGATGACAAGAGATAGAGGTAAGAAAGTTGTGGATAGACAGAAGAGTGAGGTAAGACAGGTTATTGGATAGACAGGAAGCGAGAGAGGTAAGAAAGGCTTGTTGGAGAGATACTTACGAATGCCTTTGTTGAACTTGAGTCAAGTAACTGAATGTTTGGTTGTCACGGTATCCCTGGTAATACTCCATTAACTCCACACAATCACTTGACCAGGCCGGCGCAGGTCACCGAGTACATAAGCTTGTTCACGCACCGATAGAAACATGATTCTCTGTGTTGTGGCTCTCGTACACCTGTGGGAGATGGGTAGATATAGAGTGAGAGAGAAAGAGAATATGTACCGTCCTGGTGAGATCCCCACCCACCTCTCGCTAATTATTGACACTTGGCCCAGATACATGAACCATCCTCCCATACCTTGAGTTGCTTGGCTGTAGCCAATGTCCCAGCTTAGAATGATGGGGTGGTGTCAGCGCTGCCGGTTTGGTTGAAGAGGAATTCTGCCAGAGTTGTCTGTTGTCATCACCATGACGGGACCCTTGTGGTTGGCGTATGTCTGAAGCACAAGTAGGTAGTGTCTACATGAAGTTGTAGAGAGATAATAAATTTTATAGCGAATTTTCGGTGATGATTTTTAGGTGTGAATTTTGCACTAGGCAGAGGTTTTCTATTAGGAGTTTGAGAGACGGTGGATGGGGTTGGTTGGTAGGGATGCGTTAGTGGAATGTTTAGTAGGAAGGATGTTAGGAATGTTAATAGGAAGATAAATAAGTTTGTATTAGATGGTTGGTAGGATGTTAGTTAATTACGTGGCTGGAATTTAGTTAGGTTGGCAGGAATTTTTCACTATGCTGATGGTGTTTGGTTGCGGTGGGATTGTGTGTTGAGTCTGAACGCTCAGTTTGAAAGACATATTAAGATGGGTAGATCAGATTAAGATACGAAGTCTGGTAGTCAGGGTTTAAAGGCGGGTGCTGAGTCTCCGGACACTTAAAACTGTCAGATGCAATTTGATATTTTCTAATGGCGGATCTGCTGCAAGGTAACACAGAGATATGGTGCCATGGATTTTTTAAGAAATGTTAATCCAGTCACCATAATATTTGTTGATATCTTGATCAATGTTAAATATATCTAATTACTGTCTCTCTATATAATTATAATAATAATAAGATTACATAATAATAATAATAATAATAATAATAATAATAATAATGATAATAATAAATAATAATAATAATAATAATGTTAATAATAATAATATTAATAATAATAATAATAATAATAATAAGAATAATAATATATAATAATTAACTAACTTAATGATAATTAATAATAATATTAGTGCATAATTAATAATAATAATAATACATAATTATTAATATAATAATAATAATAATAATAATAATAATAATAATAATCTTTATTACTCAAGTTCACATGTGCTAGGTATACAGTCACTAAGCTGACTTCAGTGACATACTATTTATAGAAAGCAGCTTATTTAGCTGGCATTTCGGGCAAATTAGGTCAGTTTGTCCCCAGGACGCGACCGCCAAGGGCTTAGCTGAGAATCACGAATCGTAAATGACACGATTGCAAAAAACTACCCTCGGTAGGGATTGAACCCGCGGTCCAAGAGAGTCTCAAAACTTCCGAACCGTACAGGGGATCGACTCCGGACACGGATGTCTTCAAATTATCCGTAAATAACTTCCTACATATTGAGATCTGTGTATTATATTCGTATTTCAACGAATAAGTGTCTTCGATTTAGTGCCCTATTATATGCCCCGTGTATCTGAATCACAAAAATATATATAAATCAACATTGACAAGCGTAAGACGCATGAGACAATGTAAATGGATGAGTTCTACTAGTCATTGTTTTAATTTAATCATAGTTCTACTCTTTCACAGCAGGTGGGGGAATATTTGCTAACTTCCTAGAATATCTTACTGAAGTTACAGTGATTATTTGTAAGAAGTTTTCGTGCTCAGTCATCTTTATGTACTAAATTCTGATATGATATGTTCTTTACATAGTAGCTGTTGCTAAGTGTTTATACACTTTAAGCGTCCATTACACCCCACTATACCCATGGTTTAGGCACCCACTTCAAGCACACCCACTATACCCTACCATACTCACGGCTCTGTAACTCAACTTCAGCACCCCACACTTAACCACCACACTCAAGCTCGGTCTCCCAACCTTCAAGCACCCCACTAACCCACCACACTCACGGCTCTGTCACTCTCCTTCAAGCACCCCACTAAACCACCACCTACGGCTCGGTCACCCACCTCAGCACCCACTTAACCCACCTCACTCTCACGCGGCAGTCACCCATCCTTCTAAGCACCCATACTAACCCTCCACCCTCGCTCGGTCACCCACCGCTTCAAGCACCCAACTAACCCTCCACACCCACAGCTCGGTCACCACCTTCAAGCACCCCTCTAACCCAAACCACACCCACAGCTCGGTCACCCTACCCCTGCAGCACCCCTCTATCCCACCACACTCAGGCTCTGTCACCTCCATATTCATGCACCCTCTACCCTACCACACCACAGCTCGCGTCACCAACCTTCACAGCATCCCCCAATAAACCCACCACCACTCACGGCTCAGTCTCACCCATACTTCAAGCACCCCACTACCAACCATACAACCCCCCCCCCCACAGCTCGGCACCACCTTCAGGCACCCCACTAACCACCATATCCCACAGCTCGGTCTCCCACCCTTCAAGCACCCACATAACCCACCATACACACACGCTCGGTCCCCCTCCGTCATATAGCTCCCCACTAACCACCATCACCACAGCTCGGTCACCCACCTTCAAGCACCCCACCAAACCACCACACCCACGCGCCTCAGTCACGCACCTTCAAGCACCCCACTAACCCACCACACCACAGCTCGAGTCACTCACCTTCAAGCACCCTCTAGAACCACCACGCCAAGGCTCAGTCATCTCACCTTCAAGCACCCCGCTAACCCACCACACCACGGCTCGGTCACTCACCTCAAGGCACCCTACTAACCCACCACACCCATGGCTCGGTCACCCACCTTCAAGCACCCACTAACCCACCAACCACGCTTATGGACACCACCTTCAAGCACCCCACTAAACCCACCACACCCACGGCTCGGTCACCCACCTTCAGGAACCCTACTATCCACCACACCCACGGCTTAGGCCAACCCACCTTCAAGCCACCCCACTAACCCACCATCCACTCCACGGCTCAGGCATCACACCTTCAATGCCCCCCACTTATCCCTACAACACCTCGGCTACTTATGGCACCCACACCTGTACAAGCACCCCACTAAACCCACCACACCCACGCTCGGTCACCCACCTTCAAGCACACTACTAACCCCACCACAGACATGGATCGGTCACCCCACCTCTCAAGCACCCCACTAACTCACACCACACCCCCACGGCTCTCAGGCACCACCTTCAAGGCCCCCACTAACCCACACACACCCACGGCTTAGGAACCACCTTCAAGCACCCCACTAACCACTACACCCACGGCTCGGCCCACCCACTTTCATAAGCACCCACAGGTAGTAACGCCCACCACGCCCACGGCTCAGCACACCCTTCAAAAGCAACCCACTGCCCCACCACCTCACCCACGGCTGCAGCACCTCCACTATTCAAGCACTCCCCAAGTACCCACCACACTGATCGGCTCAGCAACCACCTTCAATCACCCCACTAGCCCACCACCACCCACGGCTCAGCACCCACCTTCAAGCACCCCACTAACCCACCACACCCACGGCTCAGCACCCACCTTCAAGCATGTCCCACTATCGAGAGTCCAGAGCTTGGCAGTGGAGTCAGTGCTGCCAGTGATCACCAGGTCCTCCTCCCCCTTAGACTCATCCGCAGAGATGTAAATAAGGGGATGTACGGTCTTCTTGTGGCCCTAAGAAAGAGAGGGAAAATAAGGGAGGTTAAGGGAAGAAGGAAAACCAGGGTGGTTAAAGGAAAGATGAAAACCAGGGAGGTTAGCAAAGTTTAACTTCTGCCTTGGGTGATGGAGAAGAGTTGAGGGCCCAGCGTGGCCCGAAATCTGAAGAACTTCATAATTTAGAGAATCAACCATGAATCTAGACACGTATAGTTTAAAGTGTCACCTAGAATCTAGAGGCTAGAAAGCCTGCTGCTACCTTGAAGTGCGGATACATGGCTTTCGCTTTCTTTCCCTTCGGGCAAGTCGTTCAGTGGTCGTAGAGCCAACTTTTGCTGTCTGTCCCTGGAAGAGCTGGATGACATACTCTCGTGTCAATATGACCCGCATCACACGTGATGCTAGTGACCTGCAAGGGCAGGGGGTGTAGGTCTTTATGACCTGTAAGGTACGGGGGTGTAGGTC